ACAAACAATAAATAAACAGTGTGTAAATAGATAACAAGTATAAAAAAAATTAATTAAATAAATAACAAACAATAAATATTTACAATACTTTTCTTAACGCAACAAGAAATTTCAACAAAGCATATTTTAACAAATATATAATAATGTTTATGTATATTTTAGACAATGGCCAAGTGCTGGCTCTGTTGGAAAGAGTTTCCAAATAAAACTGCGCTCAACAGCCATCTCGTATCTAAAGAGCATAGACGACAGACAGTGGTATGTGTGTTTTGTCTAACAGAGAAGACCTTTATGAAACCCGGTGACCTAGAAAGACACTGCCGAACATCACACTTTGATACTTGTAAGAATCTGTCAAGGTCTTTCTTCTCAACAAGTAATTGTCTGTTTTTCGCAATTTTCCCAGAGGACTATGTGCGCACAATATCAAAACCAGAATCATGGAATTCTGGTGATGCAATACAAGCCAGAGGGCTAATGAAAAGTCATATAGAAAGCCAGGTGGGTGGATCGGTTAAATTTGAACTGATACAGGAAGGTTGGAGTAAGGCAATGAAACTAAGGTTAAAGGAAGAGAATAACAAAATTAAAAGAGGAATCAAAGGAGATATAAGAGAAACAAACACAAAAGAAAGTGAAAGTATAAACGCACAAGAACGTGAAAGTGAAATGAGAAGTGGTATGATGAATGTGAATGAAGAAAATATTATAAATAGAGAAGAGCCAGCGGATGATAAGGATGAGACTGAAGTGAACTTGAGTAATGAAAAGCAAACTGATGATGAGAATAGTGAAAATGTTCAGATAGGTAATGAAGAGATAGAAAAGATTGGTCTAGAATCAGATGTGAAGATAGATAATAAGGAGATGGAAACAAATGGTGAAGTATCTAATAATGAGAAGGAAAATATAAATAACCATAATCTGTTAAACAAAAGTGTTAAGGAAAGTGGAACAGAGGATAAAAATATTGGAAAAGAGGAATTGAAAGAAGAGTTTAAGAAGGTAGATGTTAAATGTGCTGATAGAAAGGTGTTGATGAATAAAAGTAAGAACAGGGACATGAATGAGGAAAGTAAAGATGACGAAAATGTAAAAGAAAATAGTGAGGGTGTAAACATAATAAAGTCAAAGACGGTAAACAAAATCAAAAGTGATGAATATCTGAGTCAAAGGAAGCACAAACACAAAAGAAAAAGGAAGAGACATCATGAAAACGAAAAGAGAAATGATCGTATAAAGAGACAGAAGACAGACACTGAAAATAAAGAAAATGATAATACGGACACAAGTGAAGACAAATATTGTAAAAGAAAATCAAAATCAGAATATGAAGTCAGTGACAATAACATAATGAAGGAGTGTTTTGTATCAGTAAAAAAAATTAGTGACAACAAAACCCCATCTTTGGAGGAAAACCGTGATAGCTTTCCAGGAGAGTTGCCACTAATGACTGACATATTGACAAAGGAACTTGAACTTGTGAACCGAAAACTAGAAATAAATCAAATGGAATTAAATCAAACAAAACCAAAGAAAATAAACTTCAACGAATACATGAAAAAGAAAGAAGAGCATGTGATGAAAACCAATAGCGAAACAGTTAAAAAAGAAAATGGAAAATTAGTAAATTTAATAAGAGGAGATAATGGTATTTGGAGAAGACATGCAATACCTGCTGACAAACAATTAATAGCAACAAAATTAAACATTGATTTAAATAAAGAGAAGGAGGACAAAATAAAACGTGACATAGATAATGAAAATGTACATATAAATTCTGTACCAAATCGATGTGAACTCAGCATGGGTTTATTCCAGTCTGAGCTGTTCTACGACCCAGAAGGTAAAGTAGAAATAAATGAAGATTTATTAAGAGAAGACAAAAGTGAAGAAATTAAGGCAGATTTAAGAAGTAGTAGAGAGGACACTCCATTAATGGATGAGTTAGACGATTGTTTGGAAAAAGTAGAAAATAGGTGTGACATACAAATAGAAACTGAGAAATATGAACAAAACAAAAATGAAACAATGAACATAAAAGAAAGCAAAATAAAAATACCAATAACTGACAAACATGAAACTATGAACGAAAAAGGAAGCAAAATAAAAATACCAATAACTGACAAACATGAAACTATGAACGAAAAAGGAAGCAAAATAAAGACACAAATAGCCAAGGAAGTATTGACAGAGAAAGATAGAGAAATGCAAAAGATAGCAATAGACTTACTAATTACAGGGGTCATGCCAATTTGTCCTCCAGGACGCCGAGACTGGGGACAAAAGACGCAGTACAATTTGCCAGAAATAAATTTTTCATGGCCCCCTCTGAACTGGCAAAAGATGACGCCTGATCGAAAACTGTTTGCATGGGAATATGCTGCCATGACTTTAGAAAAAGAAACTGAAGGCTCGGTTGATCCTGAAATGTCTAGAGCGTATCTCCTAGATAAATTCAATTACCTCGCTTTGCCAGGGTCGGCGAAACATGTTAAGGAAAGGGAAGAAATCGGGGCGTCAAGAACTAGGTTTTATTGCTACCAAACTGTCAGGGAGATTGCAAGCGGAAAGCGAGTTACTACCGCACTAGAAAACCACATAAAATTCCTAAGAGACATTAGAAAAACATCTGAAGATTTTAAGTTAAAACTGAGGAGCATAGACGCTCCCCTTAGGCTTAATGCAGCAGATTGATTGTGTAAAAGTGTTAAATATATGTGTTGATAAACAGGTGGTTAAATAATGAGTTAAATGTCACAAAGTGTTGTGTTAGTGGTAGAGAGAAACAAAGAGTTGCGTGAAAATATGAAAGTAAATAAATATTATGTTGTATAAAACAGAGAATTAAACAAACTGTTGTGTTTTGAAGTTGAATGTTTTAAAGTTTATGGTATTATCACAATCAGTGTTAATTAAAAACAATTTACACTTGACGTTGCGAAACAATAATATGAGAAACTGTTTGTTTTTTTTTAGTTTAAAAGTGTTTAAAGAATTACGATATGAAACATTAGAATGTTTTTGTGTAAATTTTAAAGCTATTGTTAAAATTTAAAAGTTTAAAACTGTTATTGTTGAACAAATTTCATAGTTTAATATAAAATGTTGTTTAAAGTTCTCTAGATTAACTTCCATTATAATAAGTGCTATCTAATTATTTAGTCTCTGATCTTATGTGCATATGTTCAAAAGACAAAAACCTGAATCATAATCCAGGAGGATTATTTGTAACTAAGGAGGGGGAAATGTAAAGGAATGACTTGTACTTGAACATTTTTATGTACTGTTATATTTATTAAACATCTTAAGAGTTGTGTTTACTCTACCAGGTCGTGAAAATACATGACAATTGTTAACAAATAAATTTACCTTTAGTTCTGTCAGACTTATGCCTAAGAAAAGAGATTGATATTCTATGGCATGTGTAAATATCTGGTAAAACGTCATTTATTGACTTGTAACAACTGTGGAACACCAGCGAGAAGTTTTCGTTTTTCCTTTAAATTTATCACTATCAGCGGAAGCTTGATTAATGAGCAAATGAATCATATAATTAACCTAAAGGTGTTATTTAATACCAAAAACTAATGTTATTTATCAAACTGGACTTTATATGGATTACTCTGAATACGTAACTGGCTACAGAAAATATCTTTTGAGGCAGAGATTATTTGAAAAATAGCGCCGTCAAACATGTAAACAATACGTACGCCATTGAAGGTCAAACAAGTTCAACTTGGTTTTGCATCGTAATTACGTAGAAACAAGAGCAAGAATTTGATGAAACAGTATAAATACCTTATTCCATAACTTTTGAGCCCAGTTTTACAATGAAACGAAATTGCTTTTATGAATATTTGAACACATTACTTTGTTGACCTGTCGAACTTTCGCATTTACAAGGCAGAACTTCTTAGCGCATTGATACGGGAAATACGAAAGCTAAATATTTTATTTACTAGAATGTGGTATTATTATTAAATAATACCTCCGATAACTATTGCATTAATACTTTTATTCATTGAGGTTTATTTTTACAAAGAAATTGAAACTTTCGCACAGACTTTTTGTTTATGCGTATCCATTGCGGAAGTCGAATATAATGACGCAATCTGATTGGCTGGGAAGTTTATAAATACAGCTGGCTGCGTCATGTCGGGCAGTCGTGCTTTCGGAAGTACAAGGTTAACTTAACTAAATGAAACGGGTATAGGGCGTCGGAACACTATTGCAAAAGTACATATGCAAAACTTTAGCATTATTTAAATATATTTTTAACCAAGTACAGTATCAGAATTTGTTATTGCGTATGCTCACACACTCTTGCATGAAACTTGCGCAAAACGTACTCACGCAAAAGTTCTATTTTCAAATGTATTTTATTCTAGCGAAAGTAACCTGGTAGAGTATTACACAACATCTGTAGAACGTTATTATATCGTGACCTATGCTTTATCTGTATAAAATAAGAATGGAATTATAGACTATATACATGTATAAGCAATTCGTGTTTATAAAGAATACATAACAAACGCTAAATGCAGTTGATATTTTATTGAAGAAATGAATAACATTAAACATATGCAGTTCACTGTTTATTAAAGAAATTGATAACAAACACTTAATATAGTTAATATTTCATTGAAGAAAGAGAAAATAAGCCGTAAATGAAGTTCAGCATTTATTATATATATTTCTATGAATAAAAGGAAGTTATTGTTTGGAAATTCTGGTGTTTCTTGTTGAATCTCCTTGGTTGGCCCAGGTAACAAAAATTACAGCCATCCGACATACATGTAGTCAAATCATACCTAGCCTGCCATGTTATAAAACGCTTGTGGTTCTACTAACATTACCACTAATACTAACCTTTCTCTTACAATATTACGTTTAAAAGCCAAACTAGAAAAAGAGATTGTTTTGATTTCTGTTTTCGTTTTTATTAATGACCTATACTGTGTCGATGTGACGTAAAACCCAAAACAAACAAACAAACTATGAAGGCAGGATTACAATCTGCCAAGGGAGGTAATCACTGTGAGGAGTTTGCTGAGGTCCTCCTCCACAAATAAAGCTGGTGTGTCACCATAACAGTTACAGTGTGACATGAAACCCAACCTACAACAGAAACAAAATATGTTTGAAGTCATATATTTTGCTTAAGTAATAAAAGATCATTTATCCATTTTATGGTGAAAGCATAAACTGATAAAGTATTGTTCATGATTTAGTTTGACATAATAATTTACTAACATGTCATTGTACTTCAAACTACCTTTTGTATGAATGAAAACTAACTTCTTTCAAAATTCCAGAATAGTTTGTTACATTTTAGTATAAGTGAAGTTTTATTTCCATTTCAGTACGGGTTTGCTCCAAAAGGTTCGTCTGTCATACTCTATAGTGATAAAGAATACAGGAAGTACCAGTTCTTTGTCCAGCCAGATTGGCCTGGTGGTATTTACGCCTCACCTACTCTAGCAGGTAATATTTTTGTTTCACAGTGAGATTCTGTTTTGTAGAAAATATATACCAAAATGTTTTTTGACTATCACCATATGTATGGTAGACAGCTTTGCTTGCAGAAAAATGTTGAAATTTAATAGTGTCAGATTTACTGAATATATGGACTGTTCTCACAGTGTGACATTTTATGGAGACATTTATTGTTATTTATTTAATTTTTCCCATGAAATATGGTGCTATATCAGTCAAATATATTTCATATTTTTTAAAATAAATATGAAATATAAATATGAAAGTGGGCGGAGTCAAAACTCATATTTATTTTAAGGGACTTCTTTCGCCATTTTGTTTGAAAAATCTGATAAATACAAAACAACTTTTTGTTGAATTTTGCTTTGAAAACTATCTAGAATGATAGAAAATGGTCTAACTAGAAAACTAATCCAAAAACCAATATCTTTAATTCAGTTATTTATGCTGTACAGACGTTTAAACAGTTGTTTACATGACGTCACAATGTAGCGTCAAATATCGCGTGCAAAACAAGACGCAATAATATATTACTGCGCGCTGTACAATTGCAGTTGCGTAGCAAGCAATAGGGTTTGTAACCATTTTTCTTTGATAATGAAATTAAATAAAAAGGTTATTTTTTTCGTTTTTCGTGAAATATTGTATTTCCCGTCCCGGCTCGTGAAAATATGTGGCATTTTATCATGTTTCGTGAAAATATATTTCCTTATTTCACTCAAACAAAAAAATATCCTCTTATTATTACATGCTTTTTGGTGGTTTATAGAAATATATAAGTGAAATATAAAACTGATAATTTCACTGTTTGAAACAGTGAAATTATCAATTTGATAATTTCACTGTTTTGAATTAAACCCCTAACATTGTTTCAGTGAAATACCAGTGTTCACATTGCTGGAAACCAACTTAATAACTTGACATCGTAAATGGCGTCAAGTTTTATAATTATTTTGTGTGGCTGTGCCACTCGTGAAATATATCCTCGAGTGACCAGTTTCAACGCCCTTAAGAATTGTTTTGGATGCTTCTATAAAAACCATGTGATTCTATTGTATAAAATGTTTTAAGCTTTTAAAATATCTCTAACCTTCATGAAATGGGTAAATTTAAGTTGTTTTTCCAGCTATTCCTTTTCATGAACAATCCTACTTTCACTTCATCCAGAAGCGGCCATTTTTATTGAGAGTGCCCTAAAACGACGCTATTGATGTGCTAATTTAATTACACACTAATACACCATAATACTTTTACTTACATTGTTCACCAATATCAAAAGCATAGACCTGCAAAGTATCAACAAGTGAAAAATAGTTAATCTATTCTTTATTTCTTTCATAAATAAAGCATAATTATGTGCGGTAAATGCTATTGTTGTATTTTTACAGTGGTTTGGATGGTTGCCCTTGTCTGTTTGACCTCCAATGCTGAAAAAATATAGGTTGGAAAATAGCACCTTTACTTTCTTTGTCGAACCTGCAAAAACAAAATAATACACTTAGTGGAGCAACTAATTAAAATATGGCAATTCAAAATTTCATTCCATCCAAATAAGATAAACGTATCCAATTAATTTTCAATTAACATTCATTCATCGATTAATAACCGTAAAAAAATCTACAACACATACAGGTTGCTTTAGGGTGAAAAAATGCGCCCAAAACAACACTATTGGGTAATTTTACTGCCACCTTACCTGAGAATAACGTAATGAGGTCAGCAGACAGGGAGGTATTTTCCAGCCTATTTTTGCAAGGAAAACATGACATAATAAAGTGAGGGTCAAAATTGCATTAGTGAAATCATTCAAAAATCTCTTGAATAAGGTATAATGTGCTAAATCTTACCTTTGGGTGTCTTACTTACTACATATTGTTACCTAACCAACAAGAGGAATCCCTTTTTGCTATAGCGTAGTACAGTTATGACGTAAGCGGCCTCTTATATCAATTATGAGGCAAAATATGAATGGCGTCGAAATATGGCAGCGTAAAAACGGGTCACTCGACAATACTTTTTGGTGCTCACTCGGTGAAATATATTTAATCTTACACAGAACTGAACATCTCTATATATGTGATTTTATTACAGGCAGCAGATCTGGAGCTGTTATTGCATCATGTTGGGCAGCTATGATGTACTTTGGGCAGGACGGGTATGTACAAAGCACCAGAAAGATTGTGTCAACAGCAAGATATATTGCACAAGAGTAAGTTCTTCATTATATGTGTGGATATATTTATTCATGAATTTTTTTAAAGCTTCACTAAAAGGACAGCAAGTGTTGTATGTTTAAAGTATTATCAAATTATGATTTTTTTTGTGTTCATTAATTATAAATAAAATTTTTGGGAAGTTTTCCTGTCTCGGTCTGTTGTTCACTGTTGTAAAAAAAATTGTAAATTTGTTTTGGATGCTTTTAAATCTAAGGAAAGTCGGTGTGTGATGTAATTTAACTTTATGTGTCAATTGTTTGAAAGCTAATTCAGTAATACATGTAATGCTTAATCTGTATATCTTATTCAACAGATTGAGGAAAATAAATGGAATATACGTTCTTGGTGATCCTCAAGTGTCGGTGGTAGCTATAGCATCACATGACTTCAATATCTTCCGGTTGTCAGACGCCCTAGCTGATACAGGCTTCAGTCTTAACCCACTCCAGTTTCCATCTAGGTATGTAGAATACAAATTATTACGAAGTTAAATTATATAAGATTTTTTTTGTAAAATTGTAAATAGTTATAGCATGTTCAGGTTTTTCACTGTATGTTTCTTCAAATGTAAATAGAGAAAGATTAAAAAAACTGCTTTTTTGGCATATTTTGATTTTCTATGTTAACTTAATGATAGAGTGACAAACTCAGAGATTAAACTTGACTTTACATCTTCTGTATAGAAGAAAAATTCTACATCTGTTACACTTTCACCAAATAGATTTAAATTTTTCTTTAGACAGTTATTGAAGAAAAAAATAAAGTGTATAAAACCTGTATATAAATATGTATTATTTTGTTTTTAAGTATACATCTGTGTTGTACATTGTTACACACTCACCCTGGTGCTGCCGATAACTTTATTAAAGAAGTTAAAAAAGCTGTCACTGAAATCATGAAGGACCCAAAAGCAAAATGTGGTGGAATTGTAAGTTATTGATCTCTGAAATATTTCATATGTCTTAATTGTTAATTGATAATTATGCAAACAATATATATTAACTTTGTGATTAATGTATATTAAATGTGTACTACAGTATTAAATTTTCAGTTTTAAAAATAGTTGAAAACATGTCATAGTTAATTGGAATTCTATATAGTGTTAAAGAAGATTGTAGAATAACACATGTAGAATTGAATCAGTTAAATTGTGAACTAAAGAATTATTGTATATTATTATATATTTCAGGGAGCTATATATGGTATGGCTCAGTCAATCCCAGATCGGTCAATGGTATCAGAGATTGCCGGTCTCTTCCTGGAGGCATGTTACAGTACCAAAGATCCTGAACCTGACAAACCTGATAAAGCCAATGGTAAAACAAATGGCAAAGTTGGCAAAGCTAATGGCAAACACTGATTGTGTATCTATTTATAGCATTCTATTACTAAGGTGCTTCATTAAGGACAGAGATTATACCGGGGAACTAGAGGTTGAGAAAAAGAAATAATGATGTATAATTTAGAAATATACAAAAATGACTTTTATTTTCTATTTATCTATTTTCTCTAGTAGAGAATCTATTTTAATAGTGTTATGATTGCATGACAATATTGTTTTGATGTTATTTTTGTATTTTAGGTCTTAAAGAAAAATTTTGAAACTTGCTTAATGTTTCTCTTATAATTGGAAATATTTGCCCATTATTCATTATGTGTCAAGTTATTGTATTTTTTTTTAATTATTAATAATGTCATATGATTTTTGTGGAGAGAAAAACCCTACAAGAAGTTTTTTATTGTAAATTAATGATATTATGAATGTAAATGTCACTTCATGTATTCTTTTTTTTCCGCAAAAATCAGAAGCACCTGGGTTTAATGTTTATAATGCTTTCCAAATAGAGACCAGAAATTGTGTGACCTGATATGATGTGATCTGATATCATGTGACCTGATATCATGTGATATCATGTGACCTGATATCATGTGACCTGATATCATGTGACCTGATATCATGCACATAGATATCATGTGACCTGATATGATGGGATCAGATATCATGTGACCTGATATCATGTGTTCAGATATTATGTGACCTGATATCATGTGACCAGCCATTTGACATTGTAAAGCAAACTGTGATTGTTGAATGGACCAATTGATGAATGGACTTAAAAACAAGACAGCTACAGTATTGTAATTACAAAATTCAACTATTAATTATAAACTTTATGATATATCAGTTTTAACTTAATATACCAACAGTATACTAATTAGGCCCTTTTGCTTTTGTAATAGTTGTCAGCTTTCAAGAAAAAAATGTTTGCATATTTTTATCAAATTTATAGCAAAAAATTTCTCAAGTATCAATAATAAATTTGTCATTGTGTTAACAGTTCATTCTGCATATCAGTTTGATCTATTAGAGTATTCTTATAAACACTTAAAAGGAGCAGCTTTTCAAAATATCTGACTGAGGATTTTACATAACAACAAAATAATAAAGTTGCATATGGGAAGCATTTAATTTTTTAGCTCACCTTGCACAAAGTGCAGGTGAGCTTTTAGGATGGCCAACCAAATGGCGTCCGTCGTCTGTCGTCCGTCCACATTTTAAATATTCTAAGGACATCTTCTATGATACCGCAAGGCCAATGTTAATGAAACTTGGCAGGAATACTCTTTGTATGAAGCTCTATCAAGATTGTTCAAAGAATTCCATTTCATGCAGAACTCTGGTTGCCATGGCAACCGAAAGAAAAATCTTTAAATATCTTCTTTTAAAGAACCCAAAGAGCTAGAGCTAAGATATTTGGCATGAAACATCTTCTAGTGAGTGTCTACCAAGTTTGTTCAAATAAAAGCCCTGGGGTCAAAATTGGGCCCCGGCCCCGGGGGTCATTGATTTTCCCTATATGCATATAGTAAAAACTTAAAAAATCTTCTTTAAAGAACTGTAAAAGCTAGAGCTTAGATATTTGGCATGAAACATCTTCTAGTGAATGTCTACCAAGTTTGTTCAAATAAAAAGCCCTGGGGTCAAAATTGGTCCCGCCCCAGGGGGTCATTGATTTTCCCTATATGGCATATATAGTAAAAACTTAAAAAATCTTCTTTTAAAGAACCCAAAGAGCTAGAGCTAAGATATTTAGGCATGAAACATCTTCTAATGAGTGTCTACCAAGTTTGTTCAAATAAAAGCCCTGAGGTCAAAATTGGCCCTGCCCCAGGGGTCATAGATTTTTCCTATATGCATATAGTAAAAACTTAAAAAATCTTCTTTTAAAGAACCCAAAGAGCTAGAGCTAAGATATTTGACATGAAATATCTTCTAGTGAGTGTCTATCAAGTTTGTTCAAATAAAAGCCCTGGGGTCAAAATTGGCCCCGCCCCGGGGGGTCATTGATTTACCCTATATGCATATAGTAAAAACTTAAAAAATCTTCTTTTAAAGAACCCAAAGAGCTAGAGCTAAGATATTTAGCATGAAACATCTTCTAATGAGTGTCTACCAAGTTTGTTCAAATAAAAGCCCTGGGGTCAAAATGGCCCGCCCCAGGGGGTCATTGATTTTCCCTATATGCATATAGTAAAAACTTAAAAAATCTTCTTTTAAAGAACTCAAAGAGCTAGAGCTAAGATATTTAGCATGAAACATGTTCTAATGGGTGTCTTACCAAGTATGTTCAAATAAAAGCCCTGGGGTCAAAACTGGCCCTGCCCCGGGGGTCATTGATTTTCCTTATATGTGTATAGCAAAAACTTAAAAATCTTCTTTGAAAAAACCCAAATAGCTTGAGTTTAGATATTATACATGAAACATCTTTAAGTAAATATCTACAAAGTTTGTTCAAATAAAAGTCCGGGGGTCAAAACTGGCCCTGCCCCAGGGGTGTCATTGTTTTTAACTATATGTGTATAGTAAAAACTTAAAAATCTTCTTTTAAAAAACCCAATGAGCTAGAACTTAGATGTTTAGCATGAAACATCTTCTTATGGGTGTCTAATGGCCCTCTTGTATATTTATATGGTACTGTTCATCAGACATTCAAAAGTTTTGAAAGGTAGCATTTCATATAAGAACTATGATATTTTTGCTACATACAGCCTGAACTGTCTTGTTTTTGAGCTTTTAGATTTTAGCCCACTTGTACTTAGTTTATGTGTTTAAATATTTGTTATAAGTTTATTGAAATGATTGTATTTATTCTCTGGAGACAGAATTTGGAAATTTCTAAAAATAGAACATGAATTACATGACCAATGTTGATCAAACTTCTTATGATTAATTATTTAGTACTCATTCACAGTTTTATATTAATATCTTCTGTACATTTTTTCGTTTTAAGTGCCCAAGTTGATGTATGTAAGAAATTCAAATTGTATGTGTCTATACATTTGGAACCTCAGTGTAGTTCTTTTGACAGAATAGATGTAAGATTTAGGATAGAACAAAGTTCAATGAGACACATATTATTTGTCAAATTATTTTTCAAATTAATGTCTCCTTAGTATGAAGTATGAGTAAATTATGTATTTTTTAATTTTACAGGTTAATTTCATCAATGCAACATATAAAGTTAGTCAGATTATATAATTTATTATTTCTTTAGATGTGTACCAATAAGTTTGTCAATTTTGTTTGATTTTCTGTTTTATTTGTTTACTATTTTATTTTAGAATTATAGAAAAAAAATTCTTTATGTATGTTTTGTTGACTTGTTTCATTATTCTTGTGTTTTACTTTATGATATTGTATTTCATTGCATTAATCTTGTGTAATTCATTTATCTAATGTCACTCATTCATCTTTAGGGGGGAAAATATCCTGACATAGGCATGAAGCTGGTCTAGATGACATGTATTTTATAAAAGATGGCAAAATTGTTGATTATTATTGGCATTTTGCTGTTTGTTCATATATGGTTGATAGGTGTTTATGTTATTTAAAAATTCAGTCACATGAGTTATGTAGGTTTTAATGATTTGGTTTATCAAATGTTAGATTATTTTAATAATTTTCTTTGAGGTTTTGTCCAATGATAATATTAGTCAATTGTTTATCTATTCAACAATATTCAGAAACATGAAAATAGCATTATTTGTATAAATGACTATCTGTCATTTTTAAGCCAACTATTGCCCCACCAAAAACCTTTTTACCTCTTCTTATGTGTTAAACTAATAAGACTTCAGTCTGAAAATGACAGGAGAGCATGATTATAATCTGAGAAGTCTAGAAAGCTACAGAGATTTGGTTAGACAGCCTAAGTGTTGTTACTACTAGTACCTTGTTTATATTTTTGGGCTGCAACTCATGGGCATTGGATCCAACCAGCACATGCCAATCCGCATCGAGTTTGTGATTTTGACACTGCCTCTAAAAATACCTCCAAAAGGGAAAAAGCTCCATTAATAGTTGATACATACATATATGTATTTTTTTAATAACAATATGGAGCACATGGACTACTTTTGGCTAATGTTTGCATATATGAACTACTTCCTCCATTATGTTTGACTTGCCAGTATTGTACAGCAGTGTGATAAGTTACAAATTTATAGATTCTTGTATCACTGTAGGTGGTGATAAAGTATGATTAGTTTTAAAATGTTTTGAATTTCCAGTGATTGCCCATCACATTTTCACCATTTATATTGTCTTGATAGTTTTGGAGTGTAAAAAAAAAAGATAAAACAATTATGTTATGTAAACATGTCACATTTAATATCACAGAATAATCATATTCTGTGATTGGTGAATTATTTTTATACATGTGATATGTAAGTTATTATATGTGTGATTGGTGAATTACTATACTGGTATATGTAAATGAATTACAAGGGTAAAGTATGTGAGACATGTTGTAAAGTTGACAAATGGCCAGTGTTCAAATAGGCATTTAAAATGGCCGGATTTATGTTTTCTTTCATTCATTATTGGTTTTATTTTTTATCAAAAAGCTGTTGTTTTCTTCTTTAGTTTTCAGGTGAATTTATTGTTATATCTATTTTTGTTGACTTATGGACTTTTGCACAGAGCTTAATCAAAAATAGAGATTTCTTTTGACATTAAGGGCTATTTGTTTGTTGTAGTATAAGATGGAAGTATATTTTACAGATTGAACACCAGATGCAATATTTTCATGATTTGCGATAACGACAAGTAAAAAAACAGAACAACTTGGGTTCAAATAGAAAGTAAAATTCGATGTTATATGCAAAACAAACACATTATCTTTACATTTCATGCTTTAATGGTTAATGTAACTGCTGCAGAATATCATGCTCTCTCCTTTGTGACATCATCAAATCATGATGTCACAATATTTATGTTGAAAATTTATTCTGTAAAATTTCTTGATAACAAAATTAGCCTCCAATAATTATTTACAACATTTTACTAATGTTGGGATGTCTTTCTGTCTGAATTTTTATCATTAATGATACATACATGTTTTTTCATCAGTGTTCAAATATAGTTTTGCTACAGTGAAATTATAAAATTATAATTTCACTGTGAAATTATCAAAAGATGACTCACTGTTATATTTTAGTAGCCTAATCTACAGATTATTATGAAATATAAATTACAATCTAACAGGGTCAACCAATATATCCTTAAATCCAGATATTGTATATAATGGCAAAACAGGTGCTTTAACTTCAATATGTGTGATACATTTTGATTAATTTATTTTCAGATTTGAGAGATGCTATTTAAACATGTGTTTGTAAATTGTGTACAATATATTATTGTACACATATATTGCTTGATGTAATTACTATAAACCTTGTTTCACTTGTAGCATGATACAATATAAACAGGGTTGAAAGTATACAGTGATGTGCGTAAAAATTTTATATGTATTAAGTTGAGTTTTGAATTAAATTTTGAGATAAGTTAGGTCCAGATTGCAGGAAAAAATGAATCTTGGACGATCCATTCTGACTGATTCTATCTACAATAAAAGAACATTCAGAAATGTACAAACATTACAAAGTATAAGGCAACAAGAAGATTTTAATTTCAACTACTTCATATAAGATAAGAGAAATTATCACCATTGTTGTAAAGAGCAAAGAAATGTTGCCAAAAATATCAACAGTAGTGAACAAACCTTTGTTGCCTGACATTTATCTGGCGAAATTTAATATATATTCTCCACAAATAATTTGATTAAAGATATTATGAATGTATACTGCAGTATTTTTAAGCAAATGTTTGTTCTTTGATTTGACACTGTATTGAAGTGACACATTTTATATAGTACAATGTACATGTATATAGATAGTGTAATATATGTTACATGTTGATTTTTCTGTGTTTAGTTTGCCCAGTTTCTTTGTAATTGATGCAGAATATAAGTTCTTAAAGGGACTCAACTGAGGTTTTTTGACATGACTGTACTGGAAAAATACTTTCAAGATATTTATACCTTTTTATGTAGGTATGTCACCATTCATTCATTACAAAATAGCCGTTTTAATTGGGCAAATTTACCTTAAATTGAAAAGTGTTTAAACTCAAATCGGGCTAAGAAGTTAAAAAAATATCAATTTTCAAGTAATTTTCAGTATAATTAATACCTTTTGCATATTTTCCGTTTCAAACACCCCAGTTTATCTACGAATTTCATTACATTTTATGTTTCTAGACTTATGGATCTTGTTGGAGTTCCTTTAAATGTAAATGAGTGTTTTTGTTGGGGAGCGTGATAGTTTTGTTATCAAACAATCATGACAGTTTTAGATAATCTCTATATGTAAATAAACTATTGTTCCTCTATGTAATCTGTTAAATTGAACAGCTAGGATTGTATAAGAGTTATGGACTTATGTTGTCATTTAAAGATGTCATTATACATGAAATTGGATATTTTGTTTGTAAATTGTATATAGTATTGTGTTTGCAAATAGGACAGGAGTTTCAGAGGATACTGCATGTTATTAAGTCATGTTGGAAACAATGAGCTTTTAGAATAAATGAAAGTATAATGTGTTGACTCATTATATCACATAAATAT